GGACCAGTCCATGCACCAGTTTTTGTTATGACAGTAGAGGTTAATGGTCAGGTGTTTGAGGGCATGGGCCCAACCAAGAAGAAGGCTAAACTGAATGCAGCTGAGAAAGCACTACGTTCCTTTGTCCAGTTCCCCAATGCCTCTGAGGCTCACCTGGCCATGGGCCGAACCCTAACGGTGAACACAGACTTTACATCTGACCAAGCCGACTTTCCAGACATGCTTTTCAATGGCTTTGAGACACCAGCTGTATCTGAAGAATCCTTCTATCTAGGTTCCAATGGTACAAATTCACTAGGGGAGTACCCATTGCCTACACCACCTGGCAGCAACCTTGCCCAGGCCCCGTTGCCCCCTCCATCTGCATTCAGCTCACCATCCTCTGGCAAAAACCCAGTCATGATCCTCAATGAGCTCAGACCAGGCCTCAAATACGAGTTTGTCTCAGAAAGCGGTGAGAGTCATGCCAAGAATTTTGTGATGTCAGTAACAGTGGATGCACAGACATTTGAAGGCTCAGGACGCAACAAGAAGCTGGCCAAAGCTCGGGCAGCACAAGCTGCACTATCTGCTCTGTTCAACATGCAACTTGACCAGACACCATCCCGGCAACCTATACCAAGAGAAGGGTTGCAGCTTCACCTACCCCAGGTAAGACATTTTTAATTTAAATATTCTTCTATTTTAGTGTTTGTGACCTTGAATATGTATCAGGATCACAACCTCACCTGCCAGCAAGTTATTATTTTGACCTTTACATTTGAAACCACTAATTGGTCAAATGAATGACATGACCAGAATCACTCTAATTAGAAAGCAGGAAACAAGTTTAAATAAAGGTTGTATTATTTCAATAACTAAGAATACCAAGCTGCAATTCTCCATGTGAATGAATGAACGTATTTGAAAAATGACTTTTCATGGTACTTGAAAGCAAGACTTTTCTATAACAGAATCTTTTTGAATGGCCAGTAACTCTAGAAATTATATAAGGATGCAAGCAATGACTTTGGATTTATAAGAGTTTAACAGAAAAAAAGTATTAATCATTCAGGTTTTTATATGTACAACACAAAGCAGTAACTTTGATGCCCGGTTAAGTTCATCTGCTTTGACTCACAGATAAAGCTGGTTGTCATCAGCATAAAAACGAAAATTTATGCAACATTCCCTAATGATTGCCTACAAATTCATGCATAGATGAAATAAAACTGGACTTGGCACAGAACACTGAGAAGCACCCTCAATGAATAGTAAACGTTGAAGATGCATTAACGCATACAATTTTAAATTAGTCAAATAGATGTGTCTTAAGCAAAGCAGTACTCTTGATCTTAATTATATTTTCATTTCTTTGTAATATTTTGTGGTGTCAAATGTATATCCAGATCTTGGTGTTCTTTTGTCTTTTTGATAAAACACAAAAGTTCTCAGATGTTTTGTCCATTGATGAATACAGTTGCCAGGAATGAATAGTTATTGATCTAATAACATTGTTGTTGTACGCTCTGATATAGATTGTTGCCAGAACCGTAAAGAAAAGCATTCCTTTGGAGGTGTTCATTAGATTAAAACAGGTTTATTCAAAACTGCTCCGCCTGTCAAACTGTACTGCTCCACAAGGTTATCTTTAAGACTTTATTCACATCAGGTTAGCAGAGACTAAAGGATGTTACATGACTTGTTAGAGATGACTGCCTGTGTGTGAAGAGAGATAACGCGGTCGGCAAAGCTAATCAGCTTGACACATTGTCAACAGTCCATCCCTAAATCATCTTCTCCGCTCTTTGCTCATTCTCTCCTCTTGTCATCCGATTCATTCAACAAGCAGCCCATTTCTAATTACTCTATTAATTTTTGTTACTTTATATTTAATTTCTGCAGCCTGTTTCCATATGGCGCACCACTTATGGGAAAATGGACATGCTGCTTTGGCACTTTAACTTAAATTTTGACAATGTATTTGCCGTTTGTTTTTGTTTTTTTCATACCAACCAAAATAACACCACAAAATTTACATTTTGATTTAAGAAACTTGGGCTTACACCAGAAAAAACAAGAGAGGTTTAAAACAAAAGTATTTTGTGCATTACAAGGACATTTTTTATATATATATAATTTGGTACTCCTAAAGAATAAAGATGAAAGTCCATAGCAATCAAATCTCAGATGATCTGGCTTTAAGTG